GTCCCTTCCCTTCTACATCTCTCCTCTTCCACCCTGTCCCCTGCGTCCCTCGCCTCCTCCCTCCCTCCCCTCCTCCCCTGCCTCCTCCCTTCCACTTTCTCCCCTCTCACTCTTGTACCAGATCGCTCGGTCGACGCTCTTCATGAGCCTCTCAATCCAGGAGCACATGGCCCTTGAGGAGAGGATGCATGCGCTGTGTCTCCTCTCCTCTCCTCCTCTCGGCCCCACTTGTGAGATAGTCTTCCCCTCCTCTCCTTCACATGCCCGACCATCTTCAACTTGCCACTTTACATGTATTATCACATCCTGTATGTACATGAATCGCACCCTTCCACCCTCCCCCTCCCCCTCTCCTTCTTGCGTTCAGTTGCTCTTCGCACGTTCGAAGCTGTTTTCCTCCGTCTGCCTCCTTTCCCTTGCCCTCTGTGCCTCTTTCTCCATCCGATGCACAGCAATCACAGCGTCTGCTCCCACATGGAATTTGCTTCTCATCACAGGCTTGGGAGGATGCAGATCTTTCATCGTCACCAGACCATCCAGCGCTCCTCCCGAGTGCGTCCGACCAACAGGAACGGAAACGAAGGAGGGGCACAGCAGGACGCCTGTGGCTTCAGCCAGTAGCTTCTCTCCTTCCTCCTTGTTCCCCTCCTCCACAAGCAGCGACCCCAGGCCGACTAGACAAGGAACCTGCAACACGCTATGAGTCTTTCTGAGAGAGGGAAGCAGAGGACAAGGTCATGGCAGCAGCACAAGCAACAACAGAAGAAGTATCTCCGAGCATGCAACATGAGAAGTGTCTTACATGCTTGCGGTTCCTCCTAATGCCTTCCCGCCAGCAGCTCTCTGCTTCTTCCAACTGTCCAGCCTTGTGAAGTTTCACTCCTTCGTTGTACAGAGCATCGATGCTCTTGGAGCTGATGGACAGAGTCCGTTCGATGGACCCTCTTCGTTCACTTGTCATCATTTTTCTCGCTTGCTGATATTATCAATTGCCTTTCTTGTTCGTCACAGTATCTTCTATCTTGTCTTGTCTTGTCTTGTCTTGTCTTGTCTTGTCTTGTCTTGTCTTGTCTTGTCTTGTCTTGTCTTGTCTTGTCTTGTCTTGTCTTGTCTTGTCTTGTCTCCTGTTCTCTCTTCGTTGTTTTCCTCTCCTCGGATTTTCTTGCTGGTGTTTCCTCAACTCTCGGGCCGAGTTCTTGGGTTGTTGATTTTTTCCCCTCCTCCCTTGATGGTGGGTGGGGTGGTCTATCCTCCCCTCTATTTCCGCGTTTTTGTGAGGGTAATCTAGCGATATTTAAGACGACAGGGGGTAGGGGTCATTCACTTCCGTTTGATGAGGGGAGGAGGGTTGGATCGTGTGGGCGATGACATGGGGGTGGGTTCAGAAAGGGGGTAGTGGGTGCCAAGAATGAGAGTTGAGGTATCAAAAGTGGGGGTACATACCAGATATAAGGGGGGTCTTCATTCTGTCAAGGGGATCAGATTTGTAGCTATGGTGGTACCCTGGTAAAGCTGATGGCCTTACACACAAGTTAAAACTCTGAATGATAGTGGGTGGGGTACTGACAAGTACGGGTCATTTTAATAAGTATTTGAGGGGTCATAAGGGTACTTGGCGGGAGTAAAAGCTACTTGGGAAGGTGGGGATATTTTTAGTGGCCGCCACCTCCAGATGGGACCACCCCCTGGTTTTCCCTTGAACCCCCATCCTTCGCATCTCACCCCTATTTCTCCATGATATCACCCCTACTTATGACCACCAATAGACATATTCCCTCTACCCCACCCTCCTTTTTAAGGCTAGTTTGTACTGTCGCGAGAAGTTTCATCTCCACCCCAGAATCTCCCCCCCCACCACCCACCCTCTCAACACTTCTTTACTCAACACTAGTTGTCATTTGGAGCTCTCATGGTGGCATGGCAGTAGGATCAGCTTCAGCAGCATCCAACATGAACCAACACGATCCTCCCTCCTGCCTCCTGCCTCCTGCCTCCTCCTCCTCCTCCTGCTCCTCCTCCACTCGCTGCTGCTGCTGCTGCTGCTGCTGCTGCTGCTGCTGCTGCTGCTGCTCTTTCTCGTGATATGTCATCTTGGTATGTCCCTACTATCTCCTACCTGCTTTTCCTCTTTGCCATGATGTGATCTACGTCTGTGAATCATCGCAACGCCTTTCTGCTGCTTCTAGTTTCTCTCTCTGACGATGTCTCCTACTCGTGCTCGTGCTCTTGATCCCAATCTGTCATATTCTCCTGATCTACGTATTTATCTTCAACTGCAAATGAGATTTGCCCTTGTAAGTGACAAAGGTTGCTCTGCAGTTGCTGTTTTGCTCGGTTGCATTCGATTGTTTGTGATATGCCGTGAAAGAAAGCGTCTCAATCTTTGCCTGATTGAAAGCATCGAGTTCTTCCGGAATTCTTAGAATTTGTAGCATGAAGTGAAAGAAATGACGTTTGAAGTTGACAATGTTTGATGAAATTGTTTCATGAGAGTATTTGAAAATTTGACACCCTCCCAATGATGACAATAAAGCTCCTTGTCTTCGTGAGTAAGGATGAGACCTTGAGGTCGCTCAACTTCCTGGCTCGCAACGTTTTGAAGACTTCCAAGTTCAGCTGGCAGTCGAGCAATCAACTCATTGAGTTTGAGTGAGCAAGCAGAAGAATCCTTATGAAAACAATAACTCAGTTTATTCTCACAACATGTCTTCTCATGTACAAACACTCGCATCAGCCGACTGCTCGTCCATTGTCATTAAGAGTCGTTTTGCTTGGAGCTTGGACATGTTAAGGTCTTGCATCAGCTCATCGAGAGACATGGCTCTGATCTGACTTCCTGGTACTCGCTCTTGCCGCACAACCTCCCGAACCGACTCATCGATGTTGAGCATCTCCATCAGCTCCACAACTTCTTGCCATCCCATGTCGACGATATTCTTGTTGCCATCCTTGTCCTCCTCCTCCTCTTCCACCTCACCTTCCTCTGCGATCTTGTGCGCTTGTTTCATCGTCGTCCTCTCGAACTTGCGGAAGTCTTTCTCGTCGGAGGACTTCCATTTCAAGGATATGGCGTACTCCGCATCTGTGAAGCCAAACACGCCGATGTAGATGTATCCCACAACGAAGCCTTGATCGAAAGGATGCAGAATGATCTTGTCGTCTCCGAACTCTGACTTCTTCCAGACGTTCTTCTGCTTTGTAGGGAAGGGGCACTGATTGTTCCCGATGAACAGGTCAGGGTCTCCTTTCTTGGTCTTGAGCAGCACTGTGATCCTTCCCTTGGTGACCCTATGGCGAAACTTATAGTACCTGTAGTCTCCCTTGGCTACCGAGTCTAAGAACGGCTTCTGGTTCTCTAGCAAGCGAGCCTTTCGGTTGCGGTCGACAAAGTCTATCGGCAGGGAGTCCGTGTCAAGGTTCAGCACCTCCTTGACCACTTGACTCTCTTGCCCGTCGGCGCTCTTCTTGAACTTCCCGGTAGTCTGGAAGGACTCGACGAGCTCGTTGACGTACTCGCGCTCCTCCATCACCATCTGCTTCATCTTCAACCTCTCTGACACGATCTGCTCTCTCTGCTTCATCATCTTGATCGAAGTCTCTTGAGCGCGCGCCAGCTTCTCCTCCACCAGTTGCCTCTGGAATCGACGAGTCAAGAGTGAAGGCAGGGCAGGAGCAAGTTAGACCTTGTAGAGGCTTGCTCGTTCAGCCATCTTCATCATCTTAATCTGGTGCTCTTGTTTGATGTTGTCAATCTCTGCCTTCAGTTGTAGTCGTTTGCGCACTTGCTCAACAGCCTGGAGCGAGAGTCAAAGGAGATGGTGAGCGACACTCCTGTGCAACCTCTTGGTGGAGGATTTCAGCCGTGTCATTCTTCTCGATCATCTTCGCTTTCTTGAGCTCGAACAATCTGTCTCGTTCTGCTTTCATGACGGAACTTCGTTGGTAGTGCTCGATCTGCGCCAAACATGACAAAGACCTTCAATCAGCGTCCCAGTCTCGTTGCATCGTAGATACATCACCTCCTTGCGCTCTCGATTCTCCCTCAGCTTTCGTTTCTTCAGCTCGATCTGATTCACCCTGTTGCTGAATTTTGACACCTGGACAGGATGTTAGCAGGTAGACCTCGGGATGTAACCAGCACGAAAACAGCCCATCAAGCTCACTCACTAGTTTCTCCTGCAGCTCGTCGACTTTGTCTTTCAGCTGGATCTGTTTTCGTATCGCTGTTTGCATTCTCCTCCTCTCTAACTGGTGCAGCTTTCTTGACTTGATTCTCGATCGCTCGCTCAGAGTCGTCGCCAAGTCCTCGCTGTAGGAGGCAATCCCTCGCGCATGTACGCGATGGGTGTTGGCGGAGGGCTCAGCAATGTAGTTCTGTCTCGCAGCAGCTCCGAAGGCCTTGAGCTCGGGGGGGCGCCGCTTGCTGTGCTTCCTTCGGTGATGAGGATGGCGTGAGCTTGCCGGTGACGGAGCCTCTCGGCCCTTAGCTTGTCCAGCAGGTTCAGTCGTGACTTCTCGTCGAACTCCATTCTCAGCTGGATGAGGAACATCGGGTCCAGCTTGTCCTTCCTCGGCGACGCCTTGCTATGGAGAGAGCTGTTCATGTCAAGATCGCGGTAGTATTCCAAGGGACGAGGAAGGATGTCTTCTTGTAAGACACCGAATCGTTTCATCGCCAACACGGAGTGAGGGCTGTTGATGTTTCTCTCAGGATAGTCTTCGAAGTTCTCAAGAGAAATCTTCTCCCTTGTCAAGTTCACCTCCTGCGCTCTCGCCCCTGCACTCAAAGGACGCGAGGAGTTGTCGGCAGGAGCCTCGTGCTGCCTGTGTTCGTCCGTCCTCACCTCCTCCTTCCCGCTCGACAAGGCGCTCTTCGACAGTACAGTCTCTGTCTTCGCCCCAGGCGAGCTCACGAAGCGGAGGCGAAGACTATAAGGGGAAGCTGTTGCGGTGCGGTCAAACCTGAGCGACTTGGCTAGAGGACTCTCCGTCACAGACTTAGCAGCTGAGGGAGGGCGAGGAGTGAAGAATCTTTGTTTGTTTTCGTCTGAGTATGGAGTTCGAGCGATCCTTGGAGTCTCGAGGGTGGACGAGCGGAGAGAACCGGTTCTCTTCTGACTGACGGTTGTGTTCTGAGACATCTGCTTCCTCTCCAAATCGGATGAGTTCAACATGTATGGCATCTGACCGCGAGTCGACGACCAGCTCTCAGCCTGCATGCTGCGCGGCTGGTCATCTTTCGCCTCCGCTCTCTTGTGGCCGAAGAGATACTTGGTCTGCATCAGCTCGGATCGATTCATCCTGTCCGAGTCCAGGTACCTGTGTCGCTTCGTCTTCACCTTCATCAGCTCGGTTTGGGAGCGCTGCAAGAACTCGTTCAGCTGCTCGCACTCTCTCCTCAGCCTCCTCTCAGTCGGAGAGACGTACACCAGAGACTCCTGGCCATAGCTCGCTTCCTCCTCCTCGCCCTTGTTCCCTTGCTTGGAGTGCGCTGCTGCTCCGGAGGGATGAATCTCCTCGTCATTGCAGTCAAGCTCGACCACATCCAATCGCGACAAGTTAGGAACGACTTGCTTCTTCTTCATCAAGTTGTTTTCGGTTTGATTCTGCCTGTAGGGCGACTGGGGAATGATCAGCACTTGTCCTCGGTGAACTGGCATGGACGCCGGCAGGGTGCTCAGCCACTCAGTCATCTGCATAGAAATGTGCTGCTCCTCCTCGGCTTCAGACGTCCTGTCGTCCTTGGCGCTTCCTATGCGCTGCAAGGGCATGCTTTGAGACAAGCCAGCTGCCGGGGCCGGGGAGACCGGGCTCTTGTCCTCCCCGTTGCCCTCTGAGTTCTCTTCGAAGCACATGGGGTGGAGTTGGACGATGCCGGAAGACAGCTGCTCTAGAGCTCCAAGACACTTATCTAAAGCTGCTCACGCCTTCTCTAGAGCTCCGAAACAGCCGCAATGAGCCGTCCGACGAAACCTCGACATTTCTCGCGTGCAATTGAACGTGTGGGCTCCCTCAAGCGGCTCCTGCCTACCTGCCTTCATGGACAACCCACGAGCCTGAGGAAAGTCTTGTCTGTCAGGTTCTTCACCCTCTCCTCCCTCTCTACATCCCTGCACCCTCACCCCTCCCTCCCCTCCTCTCTCCCATCTCTCTCTTCTCTCCTCCGGTTCTATTCTCTGGCTCTGGGTTTGGACCCC